AGAGAGAGAGAGAGAGAGAGAGAGAGAGAGAGAGAGAGAGAGAGAGAGAAAGAAAACAAAAAATCATTCTCGATAATTAGTGTCGCACCATCTCTTTCTGATTAGAAGGCTCCCCTCCCCTTAAAAATATACCAGGACGATATATATATATAAATATATATGTTACTTCAAATATTAATAATAATAATAATAATAATAATAATGATATAATAATAATGAATTATAATAAAATAAAAGATTCTTTTCAAATTATTACATGTATATATCGTTGGAGACTTTGTACGAAGTCGCTTACGCGCTTTCATTTTTGATCATTTGAATTATTATTATTGTTATAATAATAAAAAAGAAAAGCAAAATGATGGATAAATAAATATTGTAAACGAATTTTCGAAAGAATAACGGCTGAGAGTGTGTATTCGCCAAAATGAGCTGACTTAAAATACATAGACACATATATATATATATATATACATAAAACAAGTGTGTGAAATTTAAATATAAATAAATAAAGTTTGAAGTATATTTAAAAAATATACGAAAATAAAAGCTACGAGGAGAAAAAGAAGAAGAAGAAGAACGAACGAACGAACGAACGAAGATTAAAAAGAAAAAGAAATAAAAGAGAGAAAATAAATTTGTATTACAAGCTACGCGTACGTAAACTAATTAAAGTACACGCAAATACGAGAGACAAGAAGATATACGAATAGGGTGACTTTAGCATAAACATAAAAGAAGTAAGCAAAAGAAGAAAGAAAGAAAGAAAGAAAGAACGAATGTGAAAGAGAAAGGAAGAAAAAAAATTCGAAAAAAGAATTAATGCGCGGATAAAAGCATACCAGAAGCGAGTGCGCACCGCTTCACCAACACATACATAGATACAAAAACATACTTACTACATAAACATACATGCATATGCATGTTTGTACACCCAGCAACGAGAAGAGAACTCGAAAGGGACTGAAGGCCTTTGCTACTCGGTGTACTGCATATGTATTGTCGGTATATTTCCATAAATTATTTCATTGAAATTAAATCCCTCTTTTCTTGGTAATATCTCAGTCCTAAGTTTCACTATATATTCATATGTATATTCATCTATTACATAAGTCATTTATTTATGATGAACAACTATTGCTACAACAACTGCAAATTCGTTTCATGATAAATGTAATCATGATTTTGTAAATATTAATCAATTGATTGAAAAAATATCTCTTAGTATTATTATTATAGTTATGGATGATGATGATGATGATGATGATGATTACGACAATTATTATTATTAATATTATTATTAATATTATTACTATTATTATTATTATTATTATTACTATTATTACTGATTGAGAAAAAGCATTATTATTGTTCATTCTATTTCTATGTAAATATGTAATTGCCTAATGCGAATAAAACCAGAGGATATATCACTGCATAAATCACAATTTGATTGTTCCCAGACATACAAATGTTCTTACACATAATGATTATTGCATAATTAATATTATTTATTGCTCGTTTAATTGACATATCATTCACATACAAAAAAGAAAAAGCTATTGATTTAATTTGAATATGAAAGATCCCAAATATTGAATATTTCATCTTCGGTCATAGGCCAGAGTTTTTTCAACAATGTCCAGCCAGTTTTTTGAGTGGTAAGAAGATATTTATTCTTAGAATCGTTTAAATAAGAATAAGCACCCATCACAAGACTCTGGCAGATCCTAGCACAAACACTGACCTTGAGAATCTTCTTCTCCAAAATCGTTAATTTTCTAATACTTTGATACCCCTTGATCACGTGTTTGCATTCAGCAATGTCTTTACTTTCGAGTAACATATAACAAATAGCTATAGCAAGTTCGAATATGAGACATGTTTTTTGCACATCACCGAAATCGATGATCGCAACAATGTCGGTCCCATCGTCGTTAATTAAAATATTTTGTTCGTTCAAATCACCGTGTATCATGCCTTGTTCGAGAATCGGTACAAATTTGAGGACATCATTTTCAAAAGTACGAATTACTGCGCTAGCCAATTCTCTTTGAGTTTCATCCGGCACAGCGAATACAAATGAGTGAAGTTTCGACATCGATATCAACATCCACATACTTCTGTGATGTTCATAAGCTGGATGATGAAATTTGGAGAGTCTTGTGTCCAGATCGGCTGCTAAATGTCCAACTTTAAACAGCAATTCCTTGTTCAAATACTTCACACGATTCAATAGTTGACCTGGTTGATATACGAGTAATCTTATCACGTAACTTTCCTCGGAATTGTTAATCTTCTCCGAAGAATAATATGCACCAGTTAAATTTTTAACAGGAATTGGACATTTGAAATAACCCTTCAAAAATATCAACATTTCAGTTTGCGCTTCTATCACTTGGGTATTCCGGGAATCCAATAAATTTATGATTTTGAAAACATATCCGTGTTCACTGATTTCTGATATATAAGGATTATTATGTGATTTTGTACAATGTACGTGATAATTTCTATCGTCGTAACCATTCAATTCTTTGATGTCCGTCACTGTAATACCATAAATCTTGAATAATAGATCGATGGCTGTTTTTTCGCTCATATTTGGACGTATACGTTGGCCAGGTAATAACAACGTGTTAGTTTTCTCCATTTTGTTTGATCCTGTTATCAAATGAATATAATCTGTGATATTAAACAATTTTTATGTATTTAAATTGTAAATATTTCGGTTATTTATGGCCTTATGGAAAAAGTAGACTATTTGAAAAATGATAAGATATGATTCTGTTTTAAAGATCATTTATTTGTAAATATTGAAGAGTAATATTTGTTTAAGCGGAATATGTTTTTTAATACATTAATGTATGCAACACAAATTCTCTATAAAAAAAAAAAAGTCAAAAAAGTTATAAATTATGGAGATATTTAAGTGTTTCGATTTAAATGATACACTCTATATATTTATATATTGCTGAAAAAAAGTACTGTCACAGATTACATTTGCTTATAAAATTCAGTGGAAAAAGAAATTTGTAAAAAGTACAATTATTTTAGGTGCAAATATTTTTTTTATCTATTAATTAATCTTATCTATTATTAATTTTATCTTATATATTAATTATCTCCATAATTGGTAGATCTAAAAGACGTAATTTATAAAAATCAATTAAATAAAAATTCGTACACCTTTTATAAATTTTTGCCATTATAGAAAAATTAAATCAGTACCAATACTTTTATTCGTCACTATATAAATATATACGTATGCGCAATCTTTATGTCAAGTATAATAGATCGATGAGCATCCAATGAAAAATCAATCGGTTTATGCTTTTATCACTTCGTAAGAAAACATTGAAAGATAAAGGGTTGATGAACTCTTTTCACAAGTATCAATGCATAAAACAATTATAGTATCAAGAGTTACTATATCTATAGTTAAATATTAAACAAATTCTTTTCTTATTAAGAAAAAACATTAATTTTATATAAAAACCAATTAGAACGCACCTCGTATTCCACAAATATCGATATTATTTAACAACAAATCACTAGGAAATCGGTAATATTCGTGTTAAAAATATAAATATATATGAACGATATAGTCAATACGACGTCTTCATTCTTGAAAGGGAAGAAGTCGTTTAAAAAGTTAAACGACAATCGTCTCCGACGCGGATGTAATTCATACTGTGTAACATTGTCAGTCAACAAGAAAACGAGAGGGTACTACAAACCATGTCGACAACTTCTACTCACATATCACTTAATCATACGACTTACTTCCCAAACCTATAGAATAATTTTTTTCAGTCGAGAATATAAACAAAAATTTCCAACGTTTTATTGTCTTTAGCTGATAAAATTGTGAATAAGAATACTAAAAATAGAAAAAGAAAAAAATTAATAATTTAAAATCTTTGCTACAATTATGTTAATTATTTTGATTGTTAAATCAAATATTACTTTGATGTATTAACTTATAAAATATTTTTTTCAACCATATTGATATAATTTATTTAAACGTATTTGATTATTACTGCGTATTTACTCTTACGACTCTGCACATAATTTGATTTTAATTCGATTGACAGTATTGCGCATGCTCAATAAATTGCATGTTACATTCAAAGTCACGAAAGTTTACCGCCCGAATCTTTCATTTCCGTTAGTTCCTAACCTATATCAATGGATTCATTATCGTGCACTTAGAATTATTATTTATTAGAAAAAAATATTTATATGTATATTTGTGTGTGTGTGTGTGTGTATATAAGAGAAGACAACAAGATATATTTGCAATAAATTTCTTATCGTCTTTAAGGTTTTTATAGATTTTCAAAATGCCGACCATAGCCGTCAAACGAGATTTATTATTTAAAGCGCTTGGAAAAACATATTGTAAGAAAATTATTATGATTGTCCTTATCTCTTTTATATGATTTTTCTTTAATTAAGTACTTATTTAAAAATCATATGGCGGACATTTAAATATTAATTCATTTAAATATTATTTAAATATTATTTCATAACAAATATTTAAGTTAAGTAATTGTTGAAAATTTTGCATCATTCGATTTCATGCATTGTAATTGCATGAGGATTAAATAATTCATCTTTTAATTTTAATTAAGCAGTGTGATTATTTAATTGCAGCCGAAGAAGAATTTCAAAATGTATGCTTCGAGTTTGGTTTGGAATTAGATGATGTGGTGAGAATTTCAACTCGCTGTTAATCTATATAAAACTTTAAGGAACACATTTTTTTGTATGCATTGTTTCTTTTTAGACTACAGAAAAACAAATGATAGCGAAGGAACAAGGTTCTGAGCAAAGTATTGGTGCATCGGAAGAAATTATTTATAAAATTGATATTCCAGCTAACAGATATGATTTATTATCCTTAGAAGGTCTTGTAACAGGATTACTAGTATTCTTAAATAAGTAAGTACAAATTCATAAGATTTGTTGGGATTGGTCTCAAATCAAATAAAAAGAAAGAATATCTTTATTCCTTTTGTAGGAGTCATGTACCACGCTACAAATCAATAAAACCAACAGCACCGGAAGAAATTGTAATGAAAAAAGAAGTGAGTATATAAACTATTAAAAATCACTAATAATGAATAAAATAAAAAATTCTATAGTTATATTAAAATATTCTAGTGTTTACAAGTGAGAGAACATTTAGTCGCTGCCATTTTACGTGGCATTACTTTTACACAAGATTCTTATAACAGTTTCATTGATCTTCAAGACAAATTACATCAAACTATAGGAAGAAAACGAAGTATTGTATCGATTGGTACACATGATTTAGATACTATTAAAGGACCATTTATATATGATGCGAAACCACCAAATTCTATTCGCTTTAAACCACTTAATCAAACGAAAGAATATACAGGGACGGAAATAATGGAGTTGTATGCGGTGAATATCTTTTGGTAAAAGAAAAGAAAGAGAAAAGGAATTAAGAATTATTATAAAATATTCTTATTTTTGTAGCATCATGTGCAACTAAAACAGTATTTACCAATTATAAAAGACAGTCCTGTATATCCTATAATATATGATAGTAATGGTGTTGTATTATCATTGCCACCCATAATTAATGGAGATCATTCGAAAATCACTCTTAATACTAAAAATGTATTTATTGAATGCACTGCAACTGACCTTAATAAGGTATATACATATGTTTGATCTGATACAATATAATATAAAACGTTTAAATAAAAGTTAATAAATATTTCAGGCAAAGATTACAGTAGATACTATAGTTTGCGCTTTCAGTATATACTGCGCAAAGAAGTATACAGTGGAAAGTGTAAAAGTAGTTTATCCAGATAATAAAATATATTATCATCCAGAGATGAGCTATCGTACAGAAGAAATAAATAGCGAAAAAGCAATAAATTATATTGGAATCAAGTAAGTTTAATTAAATTGTATGATTATTAATTACTCTACTATATTATAATAATATAATTTAGAAAATCTCCAGAAGAGATAGCAAAATTACTTTCAAAAATGTCGTTAGAAGCAATGGTAAAAGAAAACGATAATATTGTTATCAATATACCTCCAACGAGAAGAGATGTTTTACATCCGTGCGATATTTACGAAGATATAGCCATTGCTTATGGATATAATAACATAGAAAAAACATTTCCACAATTAAATACTATTGCTGTAGAAGTAAGTAATACACAAAGTAATAAATGTTGATCGTTAACTTAACAAAAAGATATTTTATGTATAAAAATATATTTTCTAATTTAAGTTCCCACTCAATAAATTATCGGATCAATTGCGTGAAGAATTAGCACGTGCAAGTTTCACTGAAACGTTAACATTTTCATTGGTAAGGTAAATGTAGAAAAACTATCATAGATGATTAAAAATAGAAAAAATTATAATTAAAAATATTACAGTGTTCAAGGGATGATATTTCAGAAAAATTGGGTTATAAAATAGAGAATGTACCAGCCGTTCATGTAACTAATCCAAAAACCTTAGAGTTTCAGGTAAAATAGTTTTAATCATGCATACGAGCAAATAAATATTTTGTTGTTGTATCTATCATTTGTTGTTATATAGGTTGCACGTACAACTTTATTACCAGGATTATTGAAAACTATAGCCGGAAATAAAAAGATGCCATTACCTTTAAAATTATTTGAAATTTCTGATGTTGTTTTACTCGATACTACAGCAGATGTTGATGCACGTAACAAAAGATATTTGTGTGCAGTGTATTATAATAAAATTGGAGGTTTTGAGATAATCCATGGTTTACTGGATAGAATTATGCAAGTACTAGAAGTACCGCAAAGCACAGATAAAAAAGATACTGGATATTATTTGCGTGCAGCAGATGGTAAAACTAACTTTTTGTAATTAATCTCTTATTTAAAAATATCTTTAATGTAATACATCTACTTACAGATCCAACTTTTTTTCCACAAAGATATGGAGAAGTAATATATAACAACAAAGTTATCGGCAAAATAGGAATTTTACATCCAGATGTACTTACTAAATTTGAGTTAAATTTACCATGCTCTGCATTGGAGATTGACATTGAACCATTTCTATGAAATGTTAAATAATGCCTGTACTTATAAACAGTACATATACAACAAATAAAACGAAACAAAAATGACAAAGTAATTTACATACTTGATACTAATCAATACTGTTTTGTACTTTCACTGTGATCTGCAATTAACTCCAACAATAAAATGCGTTTTCAAACACTTTAAACTAATGCGACTGTCTCCATACAAACAAACATAACCTTGAAAAAGTACGTATAAAAGTAAATAACTACATAGTTTCATCGTAGATTATTCACTTAATTTGATATTGTAAACAATTTCATACATTATAAATATTATTTCATAATAATAATATAAGTTATTAAAAATAGTTAATTGAATTTTTCTGATTATATTTTACTCAATATTCAATTTGATAGGCTTAAGCTGGATAAACTATTTGACATCTTTCATAAATATGTTTTTTCTTTAACATATTACAAACGACTGAATTGAAATGATTACAAATTTTTTTTCATATTAGTATGAAAATAAAAAATATTATTTATTTATATAAAAAAAAAATATTACCATGGAAAAAGACTAAATTTGGAAATATTTATTTAGTAAAACATAACAGTTGGTAGACCTAGTTTGGTAGAATATCCGGTGATATTTTGAATATTGATTAATTTAACGTATACCTCAAAATAATTGGTGTGCTTTCTTCGTGATTTTATATATATAATATTGTTTGTAGTTTAAAAACATGATTAATGCTTCTCATAACTCAATTAATTGTGAAAAGGGTAAGCTGATTGACAAATGAATATATTCTTCCATTTTATTTTTAATTAAAATATTTTATAACAATTGCTTGTACGTAATGTTGCTGTGTATTTGTAGGTAATAACACAGGTATTATGATTTTTTATAATATTAAATAATACTAATTCTTTTTACCTTTTTATTAATGTTTATAATTTTATTTTAATGTTTATTTATATCTGAAGTAATAACAATAAAATTATTACAATAATAGTAAATATTTAGTTCAATTTGTGAAAGTAACAAGCAGGTTGTTAATAGTTTGATTTAATATACACACAAATATTACTATTATTATTGTGTCATAATGTATATATATACATAATAAAATATATTAGAAATAAATATTATAAAAATATATATTATTATATACAAATAGATAAATCCATCATTCAAGATAAATCACTCAAAGAAATTATTGAAGGAAATGAAGTTCGCAAAACAGCTGAAGAAATGGATGAACAAAGAGAAAAGACACTTGCTTATGAATACCTTTGTCATTTAGAGGAAGCAAAAAAGTAATTTATTATTATACCCATTTAAATTAACATATTATGCATATAATTAAGGATTTATAAAAAATTGTAATGCTGTTAAAATTAAATTTTATTTTTTTTTTTTAGATGGATAGAAGCATGTATAAAAGAAAATCTTCCTCCAACAACAGAATTAGAAGAAAATTTAAGAAATGGGGTTTATTTGGCTAAATTAGGTCATTTCATAGCTCCAGAAATTTGTCCTTCACAAAAAATTTATGATTCCGATCAGCAAAAATATCAACTTAATGGATTACAGTTTAGACATACCGATAATATTAATTATTTTTTACAATGTCTTCAGTCGATGGAGTTACCTTTTGTATGTAAACGTTTGTATTTATAAATGTTGAACGTTTAATATAAAACAAATGAGTGTATTTATATTATTTATATTTTTCCAGACATTCCAACCTGAAACGACAGACATATACGACAAGAAGAATATGCCACGTTTAATATATTGTATACATGCGCTTAGTACACATTTATTTAAACTAGGAAAAGCACCTAAAATTCAAGACTTGTATGGAAAAATTAACTTTACAGGTAAATAGGTTCTTCTCTTGTAATTTTCTGCAATGGAAATATTTTAATCGCATATCAATTTTACAGATGAAGAAATTGATGTTGTCAGTAAAGAATTACGCAAATATGGTATTCAAATGCCACCATTTCAAAAAATTGGTGGCCTATTAACTAATAGTATAGCTGTAGATGAAGCTGCACTTCATGCAGCAGTAATAGCTATAAACGAAGCTGTTACTGAAGAGGTAAGATTAAAAATTATCATATAAGTGTATTTGACTTTTAAGCGAATTAATTTTTTTATTTATTATTAAATTGTGAATATATAATTTAAGAATCAAATGTTGATGATAACTGTTTTACAAGACGAGGCAGCACAGTTAAATAACATTTATCCTAAGTATGCTTTATGTTATATTGAAGCTTTGAAGAACGCAAAAAATAGTAAAATACAAGCTGCGCTTAATAGAGTAAGTTATATTTCAAAATATTTTAGATACTAATAAACTTACAATATTGAAGTAATTATAAAATTTATATTATATTATATTTTTGTATAGTCTTTGAATGACAGTTATGTAAAAGATGCATATGATAAACTATTAACTCAGGCAGAAATCCAGGGTCATATCAATCATGTGAATGGTATGCTTACAATTTGTTTAGGTATATTTGTATATATAATATGATATGATATAAACTAATGATCATTGAATTGTTGTAAATAGTTCAACAAGCAGGGGAATATATTATTGAATGTATTGAAACTAATAATGACAAACTAATCAAAGCCTTAAAAGCACCGGCATTACATTTACAGGTAAGTTGCAGAAATGTTTTTTATTCAGATTATTAAAATATTTAGTTTTTTAAAATTTATTTTTTAGAATATCATATCTACCAATATAGAAGTTTATATAGAAAAAATATCGAAATTAATAAAAAGTCCCGAATGGAAAAAAAATTATCTTGAAATGAATCATCATTGGCAGTATTTACTTCAAAATACTATTGACTCAGTGAATGATGAATTACTTAAATTTCAAAAACGTTAGTACCTTCCACTGATATTTATTTAAATAAATATTAGAAAAATATATACACGTTATATTTAATTTTATATTTCAGGCAAGGAAGCTTTAAGATTTTTAAATGATACTTTACTGGATGGTGGAGTAACCGAATTTTATAAGGCTTTAAAAAATCCATATCTTAAATTAACCAATGTAGATAAATTTGCCCTGCCATTATATTATGAAGAAATGAAAATTGATCTTATGGAATGTGGGACTGACCTTACATACAATGATATAGTTGTTAGTATTAAAGTATTGACAGCGATAGCAGCAATTTCTAAAGCAGTGGATGAAGGAGATGCATATGCAGTTTACGACGCTCTCAAAAATCCGGATGCGCACGTTATGAACTTAATTGAAGAACATAAAATGAAATATTTTTGTGCATTAGAATCAGCACGCTTTCGAAAACTGTCCAAACGCCGCATATTATGTAATATATTAACGTATAATGATATACGAGACTGCATCGAAATTTCCAATGAACAGTATAAACAAGGTAACGAAGTAATGCAAACTTTAACAAAATTGAATGTAGCCTTGGCTGATAATAATCCATATGCTGTAACTGAAGCTTTCGCTAAATTACAATTATTGTTATTCTGGAAGTTAACTTCTATGGATCCTACATTTGTTTACAAATCGCTGAAAAATATTGCTTCGAATAAAAAGACTTATCGTCGTGACTTATATTTGTCAGAGGTGGAGGAGGCAATGATAAATATCGATGTAACAGACACGATGATTGAAATTTCAATCGAAGTGCATGCTAAAATTAATGATTGTATAGATCAGGGTAATCTTAATGATTTTATGCGACAGAGTATAATAAAGGCATGGGTAGCACTAGATTCAAATGAAATTAAACAGGAAAAGTTTAATATATTTTGTAATTTAAGAAAATTAAAGCTTGAAAAATATCATTGCCCGTTTGTTACATTCATCGATAATTCAGATATCGAATCATACTTGAATATAAAAGAACGTACAGTCACATGGGATTTACCTGAAGATTTATCAGAAACTCATTACGTCACTGAGGATGATGTTAATTATATAATAACATATTATCCGATGGAAGATCTGCATAAATACTTAATAATTAAAAAATGTACGATTATTAGTATGCAAGCTCGAATTCGAGGATATTTATTACGTAAGAAATATAAATTAAATTATTTTAATAACAATAAAATAATAAAAATACAAGCATGGTGGAGAGGTATATTGCAACGGAAACGTTATATTGCATTACTCAATCAAATACATGCAAAAAATGATTTATTCTCTTATCAAAATAATACCACTAAATTAATGGAGACCAAATCTATTGATGTGCTAGACATATATCGAGATTATGAACCACAAATCATAAAGATCCAGGCCCTTTGGCGTGGACGAGCAGCTAGAAGAGCTTTCAATTCTTTATTACATATGGAAAAACCGCCATTTCCTGTGGTCAGGCATTTTTCTGCAATTTTAAATTTCAACGCCCAAGATTACGACAAGGATTTACAACTACAGCATCTAAAACACGAAGTCGTTCAAATTATAAGACACAATCAGAACTTGTCGCAACAATTAGACAGTATGGATATTAAAATTGGTTTATTGATTCAAAATAGAATAACTTTGCAGGATGTAGTTACGCATGGTAAAAGTTTGGAAAATCTTGCGAAACAGAGAAATAATAAGGATAATAAAAGTTTTGGAATATCGGATAATTTGTCAACACAAAAAGGATTGAAATCGTTGACTAAGGAAGGCCGTAAAAAACTCGAAGGTTATCAACATTTATTTTACACGTTACAAACTAATCCGTCATATTTATCCAAATTATTATTTTTATTGCCGCAAAGTAAAACAAACAAATTTTTACAAAATGTAATTTTGACGTTATTCAACTTCGGATCAAATATCAGAGAAGAATATTTGTTATTGAAGCTTTTTGGCAGTGCGTTACAAGAAGAAATAAGATGTAAATTTCAAAAACCGTCTGAAGTTGTTACTGGAGATCCGTTGGTATTAAAATTAGTAGTGAATTATGCCCGACAATTAAATGGTCAACGAGCATTAAGACAAATAGTTGGACCCTTAATAGAAAATATTATATCTGACAAGACTCTGGCGATAGAAACAAATCCTGTGGATGCTTACAAATGTTGGAGAAATCAATTGGAAATGGAAACTGGTGAAACTCAAAATCTTCCATATATCGTATCTCATGAAGAAGCATTAACTTACGAACACGTAAGAAAAAGATTGAACGACAGTGTTAATGTGCTAAAAAAAACTGCATTAGAATTTTTAACAAAAATAACCGAATCCCGTAATTTAATACCTTATGGAATGTTGTACGTAGCCAAAGTATTAAACGATACGTTAAGAGAAAAATTTCCAAATAGTCCAGAAAAAGATATCTTAAAAGTAGTTGGAAATTTAATTTATTATCAATTTATAAATGCTGCTATTGTAGCACCAGATGCTTTTGATATTATTACTTTACCAGTTGATAGAACGCTATTGAACGATCAAAGAAGAAATTTAGCTTGCATAGCCAAAATATTACAATTTGCTGCTTCCAAAAAAGGAGTAAATATCTTTTAATAAATTAATATAATATAAATCATTTTTTTATTTGCAAACTACACATATTAAATGTTTCAGTTTGGTGAAGAAGCTACGCACTTGAATTGTTTGAATCCATTTATTATCGAGTGTCACGAAAAATTTAAAACATTTTTCCGATATTGTTGCCAAATAGAAGACCTAGAAGAACATTTTAATATTCACGAATACACAGAAGCTACGCTCATACATAAACCAGAAATTTATATTTCTTTACAGGCAAGTATTAAATAAATAAATAAATAAATAATTAAAAAAATATTAAAATATAATAACAATAATATGTGTTACAGGAAATTTGTGATACACATTGTCTAATGTTAAAATATCAAGATCAAATAGCACCTGACCCATTAGATCCGCTTCATGATTTACTAGAAGATTTAGAATCTGCGCCAACCGTAGCATCGTTGTTAGGAATATGTAAGAATACTGTAATGAATGAATTAAAAAAAAAAGAAAAACATTTAAAGAATTTATTTATATTTAAATAAATTCAATATTTTTGAAATGATTTTTAGCTGATCCGATGTGCGAAGGAAATTTGGCGAGACTCGGCAAAACAGAAGTTTGTTTAGTGCTTACAAATAAATTTCAGATTCCAGAAGATGAAGATACGAATTTAAGTAAATTATTTATTAAAACCAAAGAGCTTTTGGTTTCTGTACTTCAATTTTTAAAGGGTCCGACATTAGTCGATGCTTTAGCAATTACATCTTCTCCTATAGACAACAAAATATTGAACACTTCAAAATACAGTGCTATGTCACCTATGTTGAATATAAGTCATAAAAGGTAATAATTTTTGTTTGTTTATTTTATGATTATTTCTCAATGAAATAAAATAAATTTTTTCTTTTTTATTAATAGCTCATCATTGAATGATTGCAAGTTTCAATTATCAGTATATCTAAATAAATTACGGCTTGGAGGATGGGTCAGTAAGGAAGATGGTTATCAAAATATTATAACAGCAGTTGCAAAAGATCTTTGTAATAAGGGAAAATATAGAATCATAAGAAATAACGAACTTAAAACTTTACAAATGACTAAACAGAGTTTAGAAGAAAAAACCAGATATTATCAAGAACAAGTCGAATATTACAATAAATATATACAAAAGTGTTTGGAAAATTTACATACTGGAAAAGGGTAGATACATATATTACATATAAATATAAATATATTTATATCGTCACAATATATTAATAGCTGGATTTTTATTAAAGTTAAAATGTTAGAAAGTAATTAATGTTGCAGATCCATTCGAGCATTACATATGGCACAAAAGGATCATAGGAAATTGAAATCTAAAATGACATTAAAGTATTCAGCTGCGAAATTGCAAGAGAAAGGTGTACTCTTAGAAGTAGATGGTCTTCCACTTTCTCAATGGAAAAACGTTCTTTTTGAGATAAGTCCTACAGAACATAATGGCCTTTTTATTGTACATTGCAAATTTATGGGAGTAAACATGGAAAAGGTAAACATCGATATTCAAAAATTACTTGAATTACAATACGAAGGTTCGCCGATAATGGATATGTTCGGAAAAGCCAAAATCAATGTCAATTTACTTTTGTATTTGTTGAATAAGAAATTTTATGGTAAAATCTAGAAAGTTTGGATAAACAAAATGTAATGAAGTAAGTGATTTTATAATTTGACGCATTGTTCTTTTTCTTTTTTATAAAAATTACATGCTATATATAAATTATAAAAAAAAGAAACAAATGAGATCAATTTTATACATATTTTTTAATTAAATATTAACATCATTTATTTTTAATTTAATTGTAAGAATAATCAAACTACTGCCATGTAAAACTAATTCAACGCGTTCTTTCTTTTCTACTCATTAACAAACTCTTTATTAATATGAGGAATTATATTTATTCTATTATAACTTTTATACTTTTTCTATTCAAAATACATACGCACGCTTACTCATGTCCGATTATATACCTGTTAACACAGTTATATAACCTGTGTTATGAAGGTGTATATATCTACAGGTCTACTACCTTCGTACCGTGATACCACCCACATACATGATAAATTATCTCTTATAATAATATATATAAGTGTATATACGCAACACTCAACAGTAATAAATTAAACAGCCCCTGTACATAATTAAGAGATGAAAACATTTTTGTATTATGTCAAAAATTTTTTTTTTTATAATAAATAATTTATGATGAAAGCAAAATGATAATGTAATGATATAAACTATAAGTTTTTATAAATCAATGCAGATATATATACAAATTTCTCCTAGAGATATGATTAATAAGTGAACAGGTTTAATGATTAATAAAACAATTTAATGAAATAAACAGAAATATCAATTATAATAATTAATATATTAAAATATATTGTTTTTAATGGAAATTACACAATACTTTAAGTGGAAAAAATTAAGTAAATACTAATATAATTACTGGTCTTAATCATCTTGGCAAATTTTAATTGTAATTCGTTTAAAAACATTGTTTTATTATGGCGTTTTTCGAGTAGTATTTCTGAATTCAATAAACTCCATAAATTTTGTATAAAATTAAGGTCTGTTCTTTACGATGACTATTCAAAAACCTCTATCACCACAAAAAAGTTGACATAGAACCGCAACAGCAGAAAAAAATGAAAAATGAAAATATTTACCTATTGTTTATACATTATGAACGATTAACTTATTTCTTTTCACTACCCTATAGGTAGTTACTTTGGAAATCACTTTTAAATATATCCCATGCAGGTATATATACCAATTTTACTTTCATTTTTTTCCAAGTGTGCTTGCGCCTTGAATTTGTGGTTGCTTATGTGTATAACATATCTTCCACTCATGACGTCGCCATTTCATAATTATTCAAAGTGTAATAATTATTTTCAACTAATTAACGATAAATAAAAAATATTTGATAAAATAATGTTGAGCAAATAGTGGGCAAATAAGAGCACTTATTCATTTTTTTCTGCTGTTAAGGTTCCTTGCCAGAGTTCCTACGGTAATTTATACATACAATTTAAACGGATTAATCTTTCAGTAATTTTCTCGTTATACAAGTGTCACACGTGTTTCACATGTAACATAACCTCGAAAGTTAAGAAAGTTGTTTATACTAAGTCTGTTGTGAATATTTATGGCGTAAACAAACATTGATTTATTAAACACGTGTTGAATAAAATTATAAAATAATTAAAACAAAATGAAAACATCACGACATAAAAAAGCCAGGAAACATTTAGCCTTTTACATAAACAATTTTAAATTTAGACAACCTTATCAAATACTCATCGATGGAACATTTGCATTTGCTGCACTTGAGGTTAGTATATTGCTTAGATTAATTATCATTATATAGAGCTATCTTATAATAATATTTATAGATTATAAATAATTTTGTTTTTTTTTTTTATATAATTGGTTTAGAACAAATTCAATATCCAAGATCAATTACCTAAATATTTTCAAGCAGAAACTAAATTGTTGACTACGGCATGCATCATTTTAGAGGTCGAAAAATTAGGTTGCTTTTCCAAAGGGATTGTAGGTGCAATGCATATAATTAAACGATATGCAGTTCATCGATGTGGACACGAGAAGAAACCGATACCAGGTTCTAAATGTTTGATGTCTATGATAGGAAAAGATAATTCTTCTAGGTGAGTTTAACATTTCTGTTATTTCTATCGAATTTTAAAAAGTAAATAATATTTTAATATTTATTGCGTAGATATATTATTGCGACACAAGATCGTGATTTACAAAACGAATTGAGACAAATTCCCGGTGTGCCCTTATTATATCTCCATGGTAAAGCACCTACTTTGGAGACTCCTTCGGAGGCGAGTCAAACATATGCTGAAAACATCAAAAATAATTTAGGAATGAGTACATGGGAGAAAGAGAATATGAAGACGTTAAAGAAAGAGGCAGGTTTAATAAATGAAGTCGAACAAAAAAGAAAAAAGAAGCATAAGAAGGGTGGTCCAAATCCGCTTAGTTGTTTAAAAAAGAAAAAGAAAGTACAAATAGTAACAACAGTATCGGATAAACCAAAATCTGGAAAAATTAAGAAAAAGAAAAAAATTAAAATACCTGCGCATGTTAAAGAAGCTCTAGTCGCTGAACTTTCAAATAAAACTCAATCATCATGACAGTATTTACTTCATATCAGTAACGGTAATAATTTTCTTATTTGTTATCTTTTTTGTTTTTATTCATAATACAATATTTCGATTTATTTTATTAAGAATAAAATATTTGTTTTAACTTTGGCTGGTTCAAGCTGGAACACATCTATCATTTTGCTGTCGATGACATAAAAAATGTACTTGTTAACAGTCAGTTAGTTTTAAAATACATTATACATTCTATTTATAAATCGTTCATTTTATAGAAATACATCCAAATGTAATATACGCATGAAGTATAATACCAAAATATGGTAATAATTTGTTTTTAATTGATTCTCTATTTAACAAACATGATAAAAGCCCGAGATTTATTTACTTAGAAGCATGGAAAATTATTGCATATATATAATATCATGCTGTCTATGACACACAATTGATGTAAAAAAATGATCAAAAATACATCATGATTTTCAACATTCCTTACAATATTTTCACGTGTAACTTGCCATATATATATATATATATATATATATGTATATATTTATATTTATATATATGTATATATTTATATTTATATATAATGTATAATATTATGAAAATATTAGATATTGCATTCTATGTTGGAAAGATTAGAAATGTTGTGATAAAATTCTTTGAAAAACAAATTATACAATAATTCCTACGTGTAGTATTAAAATTACTGTCTTCTAAACTAGGACTTCTCAAAATTTTCCACTTGGTGAGGCCTTTTACTCGAATGAATGTTTTCACGACCCTAAGTATATATCCTATACTATATTTTCCTTGACTATCATAAGCTCAAAAATATACTATACGTATAGTTTTGTTAAATTAATATCGAATTAATTCTCAGTCGTTTCACGTTCAAGAATTTTTTATTTTCCTTAAATTTTTCCAACCTCGTATGGAGTCACGATTCACATTTTGAGAAGTCCTGTTCTAACGTATGTATATATATATATATATATAAATATAAGGAATAATATTTGGAATTAGGAAATATTTGCATCGTAGAAAGAATATATATGTAAATAAGATATAAAGACGATCCTCAGAAAATGAATGTAAACGCTATATTATGTACATATTTTCTTAAAAGATACAAGAAACATTTTCAACATTATATGGAACATTGACATGCGTGTACATGCAAATGATACGATATATTTCAAAATGTTTAAAATTTTTTTAAATTATTAGAAAAAAGATGTCTAGATACTTATAAATGTAATGAATAATGTAAAAGTATGGTGTTTTTTTTTAATTATATATATATATATATAATTTTCTAGCTTTATGAAAATTGCATTATAATTTATGTACCTTTTTTTATTTTTCTTATTTTTTCTTTTACTTTAGTGTTGTATTATTTTCTCTCTTATAATCTAAATATAATGTGAAACATTTTGATTCACTAGATGAAATAAAAATGGTTAATTCAAGGTAATAGTAATAGTAATAATAATATGTACATTGTAAAAAGAAAAAAAATAAGTAAATTTAAAAAAAAATAACATTAGAATAATAGCAATGCAAAGTACACGTGTATCCTACAAGAAGAGCTAAAGATAATATCAATTAAAAAAATGTCTAGAATTGTTTTAAATTTATAAGTATATCCAAAATACATTAGATCACGTCATTAATTGAATGCACTTAAGTGCACTGTCTCTATATATATTTATATATAATTATTAGCCAATTAAAAATTTTTCCGAACATTATTATAAGTATAACAAATGTAAAATAGGTTATTACTATTATTTACTTCTTCTTTTTTATTTTTATACAATTTCTGTTGACATTGAAATCTCCTTTTGTATTGTATAAAATTCACATGAAAGTAAAAGAAATTAATTAGGAAAAATGATGAAATTATTGTAAACAAAAAATATTTTTTTCAATGTAATCAAAATTATTGAGACGAAATGAAATATTTCAGAAAAGTTTTTATCTATATATATATATATATATATAAGAGTGCTAATATATATATATAAGAAAATATTTTAATCGTAATATTTTACAAAGTATGGTACTTTGCAAATAATAAAAAACAATATTCCGGTAAAATAATACAATTACAACGTACATTAATACAATATTTCTTTCACATTCCATGTGAACTAATGTCAGTCTTAAACTCGCATTGGCGATATTGCTTTTAGACTAACACGTCTTTCTCTTCCTCTCTCTCTCTCTTTTTCTCTCTTTGACCGAAAATAAGAACCTTATATTATACAAAAATGTGCTTATTGAAGACACATTGTAGGTCAAGGATGTTGAGCTAATAAAGCGCGTGCTGCCATGGCTAACATTTTCATTCGTCGAGTTGACCGGTGATTTGGATTTGCCGTTACAAAAGCAGCTAATTGACTTTGCAAAGTCATTAACACAGTACCCATGTGCTCTCGAGTTACTGGATCATTTGGATCTAAATTTAATATAGCTTCTTCTAACCACCTATAAAAAAAAATTATTTTATTTGAAAATTCACACATATTTTATTGCAGTTATTTTATACGAAAAAAAATATCATAAAAATTTGTACAAATACCTGTGCTTAAGTTCTGTACGATGTCCTAAATCGGCAGAAAGTTGTTGGACTAATGATAATAATACCGGCTGCTGTAAAATACATCTAGTACCTTGACCCTGAGGTCCAAGAGGAGAAGAAAATACCCTTGATGGCTCCGTCCTTTCACAAGCCAAAACGACCAATCCCAAATCACTAGCACTTAAAGCTTGTTGGAAAGCAGCATTTAATTGACCTCTTTGCAGTAAAGACACAACTCGAGCTTGTGCGTCGGCAACAGCAGGTACAGATATTGTTGCAGGAGTCGTAGCCCGTGAACTGTATTTTTAAATGAGATAATATATCTTTATCATAAATAATGAAGACTATTAAATAATATGTAAATAATAATTAAAACAACCGTACCGTACGCCAGATATTTCGTTCAATTGTTGATTTAAATTTTCCCTGATCGATTCTCGAACTATACGTACAGTATCCTCTTGCATGGAAGATATTCCTCGAGAAAATTCACTTCGAATTTCTTCGCGTACTGACAATGACAGTGCTTCGATTTGTTGTTCATTTCGTTGTTTATATTGCTTATCCATGATAGAATCGACGCTTTGAAGATCTATAGAAAAACCAAGTATACAAATAATATTAACATTGACGTTTAAAATATGAAGATAAATTTATCGTTACAAATAATTAAGAAACACAATAGCTTACATTCGCGGGTACCTTTGACGAATGCATCTTGTACTTGCTTGAACATATTTTGGCAAGCTTTTTCCATGCCAGGTAAAAGGATGTTTGTAAAAGTGTCTTTAAAAGCTACATCAAGAGCTGGTTTAGCTGCATTGGCTGCAGCTAATGCCAATGTATCCTTAATATGTGTACTATTAATCAATTTAGTTAAATTATCTTTTAACAAATCGTCCATGCGCGTTACGTCCAAATGTAGTTGACGTTTTAATGGTTCAACCGTTTCTTCAACTATTCGCGGTAAAATATTTTCTATTTTGTCTTTAATCGTTGTTTCAAGTGTGTTTAATAATTCACGTTGACGATTCATTTGTCCATATAATTGTTCTAACGTTGCCGTTTGTTGTTGCGATGCTCTTGCTAAAACCGATTCAACATGCGTCGATATCGGTGATTCCTGTCTTAATCTCGTTACTTCATTTTTTAATTCTCTAATTTCTTGATACTGTTCTTGAATAGTTTCCAAAATAGAATCTATTTTATTAGTTATTTCAGTGACGTTAATATTATTTGCAGTGTTTTGCCATTGAGTTTCTTGTTCGCACGAAATGTGAGTCGTCGAGTTAGTCTCGTCCTTAGTCGTGTTCCTTTGTGCAGTATTATTATCTTCTTCATTTTGATATTCTTCAGAGTCTGGTTTCATGGCATGTACATTGACATCTTTCAATAAAACCATTGGAATATTAGGCCAATCTTCTCCTGTATTCGGTGCTGCTTCCTCTTTATTTTCAGAATCGGCTTCTTCCTCTTCTTGTTTACTGAGCGATAAGATTTCTCTGACTTCTCTACTAGGACTACTACCACCGCTAGCTGGCGCATGTTCTTCTAATTCGTTCGTCGCAAGGGGTGGATCCGAAGCATTCAACGCTTGTACTGCCTGCGCCAAGGAGGGACTAACGGATATCACGTCTTCAAGTTCAGGACTAGGAGGACTTGATTCTATGTCGTTGTTTTCTTTCTTCTCCGGCGAGCTAAATGCATCTGGTGTCATTAAATTTAATCCTGTGTTATGATTATTCGTGTTTTCGATGGTAGCCGATAACATACGATCTTCTTCGCTATTTTCTCCTGAAATTCCATTGTGATTAACAATCCCAATATCTAGCAAATCTTCCGAATTATGGATGATCAAGGAATCATGGATGAGCATATCCATGAGGCAGTTGCCACTCACTCGCGAGGCGGGCTTAAATGCTATATGACATTCTTGCAGCGATTTAGGTTGAACCAAATACATTCTAATAACAAGTTGTTCCTCTGTTTCTTCCTCGCACTGGGTAAGATCTTCTAAGGATTCTCCCATTGGACGTATTTTTCTTTGCCCAGCATCAACTATTCCAAAACTCAAAATCGGATATGGCAGAAGAAATTCTGATATCGTATTTACGCACGCTAATGCCTCTCCACTGACTTTACAAATACTCAATATGTACAGAACTTTATTATATATGTCAGACAACAAAAGATAACCGGCGCTAAGGTCTAAGCCTGCTTTCAATACAGGAACTTTTCCAGTCGAAGGAGTTGGCGCAAATGTAATTGTTTGCAAACACGTCCATAATTCGCACGACCAGACTTTCAATTCTGAATTATTGTCACAGCCAGTAATAGCGAATCTCCAGAATTGTACGCTAAGTAAAAAATTGAAATCGCATTAATTGTACACGGATCAAATAAAACGTAGTATCGAGAATGAAGTAAAATTGCTTACTCAGGTTGACAAGTTTGATGGTCGTCGAGGAAAAATAGACAAGAAATGGGACGTCCACCGTGTGGTTGCCATTTATGTAAACAATGCGGTTGAGTCGTGCCATGAGAATTACATGGCATATATACCTGGAAGAACTTCACTTCTCCATCAAGACTGGCTGTAGCTAAGGCAGTACCATCGGGACTAAACGTCGCCTCGATGATCATCCCTGAGTGTTGATTAATTTCTATCATGCCGCCACTTTCTTTTGCAGCTGGATCAGTTGCCTATTATTCATTTAAGAGTTCGATTTTCTGTCTAATGTAATATTCAGACGGCATAATATACAGATGAAATGCACAATCACCTCTATAGATCTAAATCTAGCTGCAACATTGGCAACCGACCATAGCTCTGCCTTAGAACCCCTCGTTAGTACCAATAGTTTAGATACTGCATCACCATCCGATGGATCATCTTCGGGAATATAAGGACACCAAATAACACGATGACTAGTAGGAGAAGATTCTTCAGCATC